CTACATAGCAGCATCTGAGTACACTGGGGTGTTTTTCCAAAAAGAAGAAATCCATCACACACTGAGACTTTTGAATTACATTTTGAGAAGCTGAGGGTTTTTACAGAGCTGATATTAAACAGTCTGTGCAGAGAGATTGAACTTCTTTAAAAAATACACTCAGCAAACAACGATCAATAACCTCAAAGATGCCCCAAAAAATTAAATGACATCAAATAAAACAGCTCAGCTGAAATGTTTTAAAGAAAGGACATAAAACAGTTCTACCCCAGTAACAACACATCTCAATACTGGTGTCAGAGCATCTGTCAAGTATCAAATACTGTCACCAGAGAGCATCCCAGTGCGTCCAGTCTGACCATCAGCCTCCCACTAACAGTGTCCATTAGCACAGTCTCACTGAGATAGACGACTTCTTCTTCTGTTATGAATTTAATGCTTTTCAACTTCCGGGTCAAAGCTCGGGGTGAAAACTGTGGAGCATGCTCAGAGCGCCTCGGCCAGTTTGGGTCTGATTGACTGTATATATGCATCACATTATCTGGGTGTGTTAGTCCAACCCAAGTCCAGTTTTAGTAAGACTTACACACTGTAATGTCATATTAACGTTCTAACTGTCCTCGCTCTGTAGCTATCGTCCCTAATAAACACAAGTGTGGACTTCAACATGAATCGAATCACAAATTTGATGCCTTCGGGCTCGACTTGACAATATCAAAAACGACTTGCAACTCGACTTGGACTGTAACATCCATGACTTGTGAGTTTGCTTGGACTTGAGCCTTTTGACTTGAAAATACTTAAAACCTTCCCTCAAGCGTAACAATTAAGAAGTATGTTGTTTACAAAGTGAGTCACAAATCTGTTCATTTCACACTCCAGTCCAACAGCCTCCAATCAAGTTACAGCAGAGAACAATTAAGAACTAACGTGTCACTGATCACCGACTGGAAATAATGATACCAAGGTTAATGCACTTGTATAGTGTCTTTCTAGTCTTGTGACCACTCAAGGTGCTTTTACACTAAATGCCATATTCACCCCATCACACACTGGTGCTCGAGGCTACCGTTCATGGTGCCACCTGCTGCTCAGTAACCACTCACACTCTCTCACACACCAATGTAACAAGCAATTTGGGGTTCAGTATTTTTCCCCACCAGAGGAGCCGGGGATTGAACTGCTGAGCTTCAGAGTAGTGGATGATCCATTCTGTTTGGCGTAGAGCACATTAAGACTTGTTAAGGTCTCAAAACTAAAAGTTAAGGAGTTTGGACTTGAGTTTAAAGACTTGAGATTTATTTGTGACTCGCAAAACAATGACTTGGTCCCACCTCTGATAGCAACACACTACATCATCATGTAATACTGGCACCAACATTTGCTTTCCTCACCACCTTACATGCACACACACACACACACACACACACACACACACACACACCTCTCCTCCTCATGTGAGCACAGCAGCTTGTGTTCCAGATGGGCTCAGCCTTCTTCTGTGTCTCCTAATCAAAACAACACTAAACCTGCTCTGAGAAAACGTCCAGGAGCTCAGTGAGGATCCAACATTCATCAATGACAAAAGTGTTCACAAGTAACAAGAGAAAACTTCTACATGTTGTCCAAAGTTTCGTCAGAGACAAACACAAAGGGCCTCATTTAAAGTGTCTATAGAGCACAGTCTGCAGTCATGTAAGGCGTGTCCAACTCCACTTTTGTTTGTTAAATGGTGCATAATCTGGGAGCAAGAAGCAAAGGGGTTATTTTTAGTGTCTTCATTAACCATAGGTGTGTTTTGGGCGTAACATGAATTGAACCAATCAGAGTGTAATCTCCCATTTCCTTTAAAAACCACACGTGCCTGTATCTGGCACACTGGAATTACCCAGTGTTCATTTTAGATTTAGTCTTAGTCCTATTCTTGATGTACGAGCACACACTCACTGATCATCATCTGAAAAGCTCAACATCTCTCTATTTATGCTCTCAACAAATAACTAATGTGAGCCAACTAGGATTTGTCCCCAGGTTCACTGTAAACTCTGACTTATCCATGTGACTGTTAAGAAGCAGAAACATAACTTGTTTCTTTATCTGCAACATGTTAGTCTGGAGGCTCGCTTTGCTGCCGTTCAGTGGCTAACGAACGGAGCTAGCTGCTAACAGCCACCGCTGCAACTAACAAACTGCACAAATCCATTCAGCAGCTCCACCATCCACAGTCAGACACACGGCTCATTATTTACTGCTGAATTACAGCTCACAACTCGCACCAATGGCTGACGCTGCTCTAGTGTGAGTGTTTCTGGTGGTTAGCGAAACATCCTGGTGCAGACTATTTGCTGGAGTTTACTGTCCTGTCACTCATGTTGCATTTGAAGATAATAACAAGCACAGCTATTCTTGGCTTTTAATGTCCGACAGTCCTCCACTAACATATTTGTCACATCTCATCAATGCAAATGAAGTATATATCTTTGTCTTAGTTTTTATTATCAAGATCTATTTTTAGCTCGTCATCATCTCAATTTTGTCCTGGAAAAAAGTCAATGAAAAATTTTCGTCATAGTTTTCATCAACAAAATTAACACTGCACTTTACATGGCAGATTCAGCCATTTGGATCAGTGAGCACTTTTCTGTTAAAAGTAGGCTAATGCAGTCAGAGCAGTGATGTCACTGCAGCAAATACTGTGGGACAGTTAAGCAGCAGAACTAAAAACTGTTGTTATAAACTTGACACAGGAAACAGAAATAAACTTGCAGCTTCTGAACTAATGGGTGAAGTCACGCTGCTGCTTGTGCGCACATGCTCACTGTGTCTCTCTTTACAGGGACGCACTTGTTTGACAATAAGTAAAGCTGTAGTTTTAGCAGGCCCACCGCTGTACAGCAGCAGTTATTTTATTCAGTGAATCAAACATCAAAATGTGTCATCAGTGTGATTACTGTGTATTTCTCCCACAGGACAAACACAGCTGGAACATACTGCACCACTCAGACTTTAAACCAGGTTTTGATTTGTTGATGGTGCCAACGCTTTCTGCTGCCTCAAAATGGAAACACACCAACAATGCCCCTGACCACACCTTGTTTGAAGGCCTACCTCCCACGGCCACATAGATGGGAGCAATTATATTTGCTACTTAAACAGTGTGGCTGCTGGCCGTGAAATGACAGCTGTGTCGTTCTGAAACAATGACAGTTGCACTGCACTGTGTGCTGCTTTGCACTGGGTGTACGGCAGGGCCCACTGAGTCATTATTTTAAGATTCTGAGTCATTATTTTATTAAGAAACTCTCATTATGATGACGTACAGGAACACTGGAGCAAACAGCTTTCCATTCAAACAATATTCACAGCTCAGTCTGTGACTTATGACCCATCATCTCGCTGTCTCATAATACAGAACTGAAGCTTATTTGAGCCTCCTCCCTCACAGAGCTGCTGAATTATGTGACAGTCTAAGCAGTGTTCAGTCTGTGCAGAATGAACTGTTCCCACCGGTTCTCTGCACAGATCCTCACAGTCTCTGTGGGACCGGCTGTGTGGCTGCCTGGCTGTAAATCCCGGCTCTGGCCGGCGCAGAGTCGTGTTCGTCCCGGCTTTAATCCGTCCAGCGGCTGGCGGCGGTGGGATTTGGGAGGACAGTTTGGCTTTAGTTTCCATGTAAACAGAGAATGAGGTTAAAGGAGGGGACAGCTGGACCGTCACTCACTGTCAGCTTCACACAGACACCGACAGCAGAACCGCAGACAAAGAACCAGCACTGAAAACTGCTCTGTGTTCACAATACTGCTGCTACTCACTCATATTTAAAATCTGTGCGCTGTATGCTTTACTGCTATACAGTCAAAAACAGCTCACCACAAAACTTATAATTCTTAAAACTTTCTTAAAATCAAAGCCCATCCTCACCTGTGGAGCTTAATTCATTCATACCACACTGTAAAGCAGACGTCACCAGTAGACATGAGATATTGTTTGAATATGGTCAAAATTCTGCACATTCCTGTAGAAATGATGCTGTACACATGTCACATCTTTAACCACCTGGAAAACAGCAGGTTGGGTGCTGGGCACAACTCTGTGCCAACTTTCAAGGGCGTGGAGGCAGGTTGCGTCTGTGGTTGCGAAGCGACCATAACCAGCACCGTGTCAGAGCCTGCTTAGCAGAAATCCTGAGTGCAGAGCTGATCTTCTTCCACGTGTTGTTTTGTAAGTGTGTATTGTTTGTGGGACAGATGTGACGCTCTGGGTAGCCCCGCACTAACATGATCAACCTCTTCTCCATATTTATCACAGACTGATATTTACGGATGAAGTGAAAAGTATCTGCGAGCTGTGATTGGTTGGTCCTCATCACATGACGTGCTTCTGCATTCCAAAAGTTGAACTCTGTTCATCTCAGGGCGCGGCCGTCGTGCCCTGACTACTGAGCAGGATTGTGAGCATTTACACTTGTGCAGTGGTGTGTCTGTGTCACTCTGCAGTTACACCTCCACAACACTAGTTGGCGGGGGGGGTTCTGTGAAGTGCTGTACAGTTTAGCTGATTTAAAACACACATTAAACACACATTAAACACACGTTAAACACACGTTGAACACACATTAAACACACGTTAAACACACGTTGAACACACATTAAACATGGCTTAATAGAGACAGTTTCAAACACAAATCAGCTTCACTATAACTCGCAGCATTCACAGACAAACACTTGTCTTTATCTGGACACATTTTCCCCACAAATACAACATGCTAACGTTTTTAGCACAAGCCTATGGCATTTTACATTGTATAAATTAGCCTAGCAGCTAGAGGATTTTTCCTCTGCTCATATGAAACCAGGGACAACAGCAACATGTAACAAAGGTAACGTTACAAAATTCAGCTTCCAAACTGGCCAAACCTATTCCACATACTGCTGTCCTGCCCTCCTCCATCAGCTCCACCACCTGAGCCACAGACACACAGTGTAGCGGTGCAGACTCACCTGTCAGGGGCGCCGCTTCCTCTCTTGGCTGTCGTGGTGCGACCGGCTCTCAGCTCGCCGTTCATCCCGGCGTCTGAAAAACAAAAACAAACCGTCAGATCAGGTTAGACACTGACGCAGGTCGTCTCTCCACATGACCCGAGGGTAGACGTGATGAAGGTGGACAGGTAACACACACACACACACACACACACACACACACTACTGCACAGTAAACAAACAGCCCACCTGCAGCTCGCACAACAAACAAAGCTAAATGGAAAGAGCAAAAAAACACACACACACACACACACACACACACACACACCCAGCGGGCTCAGCCGGCCACCTTAACAAGCGGCCTGAGAGTCTAATTGGCCTCCATCTGTCAGACTGGAATTAATTTCTTCTCACATTCACGATGCCCCAGCAGCAGACATGTTACCTGTCTGTCAGCCTGAGACAGACAGACAGACAGACAGACAGACTCTTCTGGCCACGAGGAAAAAAAATCTGAGTCATGATGATTAATTTCAGAAAAACACAGTGAACTCTTCTGTGACTTCATGAAACCCTGAGGTTGCGTTGGGAAGTTAAAGAGACTTTCCTCATTTCAGCAAATACACCACAACTTCATCCATTCACGTTCAAGTGACACAAACATCTAGTGGATAAAGCAAATCATGACTCTTATCTGAAAAAGTCTGATGACGTTATTATATAGCAGAAGAGTCCACAGGTGGAGGAGGTGGAGGAGGTCGGATGGGACCAGTTTCCAAACAACAGAAAACGTTGGTTTCTTTTCCCCATGATCATAATCATTCCCGGATCTTAACCACACCATATCATCACAGTCATGATAATAAAGGTCCCCATTTTAACCCCCTAACCAAGTACTGAACCAAACCTACCATATGTTAAAGGTCCAGTATGCAGGATTTAGTGGGATATATTGGCAGACATGGAATAATATATAATAAGTATGTAGGAGTGGTTTGGGAACGGCCCCATGTTCTCCATCTTAGCTTAGCTTGTCAGCATGCTAATGTTGCTATTTGGAATTAAGCACAAAGTCTAGCTGAGGCTGATGGGAATGTCTTTAACCCTGCAGGTATTTGGTCATAAACCAAAGTAGTGGACACATTAAATGTTGACCTGATGGTGACGCTAGATGAAAAGTTACAGGATTATTTAAGTTATTACAGTTCTGAAGGGGACGTGAATGATGAGCCAAAGTATGTTAGTTCATCCAACAGACATTTCATTCCATCCATCCATTTTCGTCCCTCTCCCCAGCGACACTTTCCAGCTCCTCCTGGAGGACCCCGAGGCCTGTTCTGGGTCTGCCCCGGGGCCTCCTAATGGTTCAACATGCCTGGAAGCCTCTAACAGGAGGCGCCCAGGAGGATCCTGATCAGATGCCTGAACCACCTCAAATGACCCCTTTCAACGTGAAGGAGCAGCGGCTCTACTCTGACTCCTCTCCCTATCTCTAAGGCTGAGCCCAGACACCCTACAGAGGAAACTCATTTCAGCTGTTTGTATCCACGATCTCATTCTTTCAGTCACTACCCAGAGTTCATGACCATAGGTGAGGGTTGGGACGTAGATGGACCAGTAAAGCTCGCTCTTCACCTGGACGGTCCAGCGCAGCACCTGTATCACTGCAGTAGCCGCACCAAACTGATTCCAAAATTCTCCTCTGAGAATCGCCACCTTAACGTGGGTTTGCGTGACCCTGTGAACCTGGGAGTTGTGTTGTATGGGGATAACAGCCCCTGGTAGGGTCTCCCAAGGCAAAGTGGTCCCAGGGGCGGGGCCAGACTAAGAGCGATTCAAGAAGACCTTGATGATTCGGACTTTGAGGACCTGGTATGGGAACACTGGGAGCCGTTACTCTGTGGGTCCACCACCCGCAGGGACAAGATTCAGGGTTCGGTGCATTGTGTGCTCGGCTGCTGGAGGGGGCGGGGCCCATGGCACGCTGATCTCTGGCGTCGCCGACAGACATTTCATTGAACAACACAAATGTGAACCTGATGATGGCACTAAAGGAAAAATCAGAGGGTCACCAAGGTTTCGAGGATTTATCTTTTAGGGAACATGAATGTTTGTAGAAAATTTCACGGCAATCAATCGATTAGTTGTTGAGATATTTCAGTTTGAACAAAAGTGCTGGATCACTGAGTGTGTCCTTCTGCAGAGCTGCCACCGTGATGGAAAACAAGCATTTCATTGTGATCACAAACTGATTTTGTGAGATTAAGACACTGTTCTCATCTTTGCTGAGACCTTAAAGCTCCTTCCTTGTCGCCACAAAAACCACAAGAACAACTCTGTTTCCTGTTTGGCTTCATCTCTTCAGTCGGAGCAAACCACTCAGTCACCGTTTGGATTTTGTAATTGAAAGCTGAGAGCAGCTCTTCTCTTCACGACCTCCATCAGAGCTCGGTGCACGGCTCCCAGGACCCCCCGCATGTCAAACCGTGTTGGGAAAGCAGCAGCTGGCCCTTTGCCTCCCATCATGCCCCTCTCCCCACCCGCAGCGCTGACAGTCGGCGGCAGGGTTGTTTATGGCTTCCACGCCGGCTGCAGCTTGTAGAACATTAGTCTTTTAGTGTGAGGTTTATGAGCACCGTCACTCACCATCTGTTAACTGCCGGGGTGCCTTTAATCGACCCCCCCTTCTTCCCTCCCCTGGAGATCGATAAGGCTGCCAGGTCGCCGCTACGCCCGCCGCGTGCTGAACGGGTGATTGTGCATCATCGACTGAGTGATTACAGCTATTTGCTTGCTTATTGCTTCGCATTGTTTGGACGACACATCAGCTTCAGAGTGGGGGGGGGGGGGGGGGAGGAGAAAGAGAAGGGGAAAATGAGAGAGGAGGGAAGGAAGAGAGAATGATGACAGGACAATTTCACACCCTCATGGTTATTGGTTTTCAGGGACAGGCTATTCAAAGTTTGGCAGGAAACCCAGAGCGGAGCAGAGGCCGGCTGCTGGCGCCTGGATGAGGATGACTTCCATCCATTCATGTTTGTTTTTAACTGTTTGTCGGGAAATATCTGTTTGCTGTGCAGTGATGATGATGATGATGATGATGATGATGATGACGATGAGTCCACCTCTGACAAATCTGTATCAATTTTGAGAAACAGGAAAGCTCAGAGCGACTGAACATTTTGTAGCAGACAGATACGTTTCAGACAGTGGTCGTACCGCACCATGGCTTTGGGCGGAGCTCTATTTTTTGGGGTTGTGGGGGGTGTCTGCACCACCATGTTCATATAAAACTCTATCTGTCCTGAGCATGGATGGATCACTGATCGGGCCAATGAGGCACAGGCCCAGGGGCCTAAAGATTCAGGGGGCCCCCTTGGCCTTCATCTGCACAGTGTCACTTAAATTAATACACACCAACCAGACACAGACTCAAAAAGACCACAAGGAGATGCGAAGGAACTTAAAAAAGACACAAGATAATGACAAATAGGGACAAAACAGCCACAAAACAATCAAGAAATGCTGAAAAAATTACTTCAAATAGACAAAATGACATCATGATGGAGGCAGACGAGACGACGCTGCTCGGCCCCGTGAATGGAACACTTACATTTAAAAAACGCCCAGATGGAGCTGTTGACAGCAGCAGCGTTTTCTGCAGGTTCTGCAGTGAAGAATTTCGTATCATTGGACAACTTCAAGCCTGAAATATCACCTCAACACCAAGACTTTAGGTCCTAGCTAGCGCAGCCTCTGATGCTAGCGCTAGCAGCCAGACTCATCACGCCACACTGGACCAGGTGTTCAGACTGAGTCAGTCTACCTGTGAGCGACAAAGTAACTCCCTTACAGAGTGGACTGCAATGGGCTCAGACCAGTTTTGGTGGTCGAGGACAATTGTGTCCAAAATCCAGCAGCTTTACTACAATACATCTGACAAAATTCATTGTAACTGAAGTTTTTAAAAACTTTAACAGCAAAAATTGATGTATGCGATTAATTTAGATTTAAACCCAGCTGCACCTGCAGGACAGGTGAACACACCTGCAGGACAGGTGAACACACCTGCAGGACAGGTGAACACATCAGTCACCACCTGTCTGCTCCATTACAGCAGGATCATACCATCTGGATGATGATTCAACACATTCATTTAACTTTGTGTTTCAGAGCTCTCTTCATCTCCTGACTCTCCTCCGCATCCTGGATTCATTATTTTCTGTCACCCACATTATGTCTCAGAATAAACTCGTCTGATGTTCATCCTGTTGAAACTCTGACACACAATAGATCCACAGATCATGTTTCATGAAACTGGAGGAAACGATGCGTCTCACAGTTCATTTCAGAGGATGGATGATGTGTTCACTGCTGCCTTGTTTATCCCAGCGTCATCATTAGTTGATTTCTAACCACCAGTTTTTATGTGAATTTTAAAAAGTGGAAACACCAGGAAAAGCATGTGACTTTGGCCTCGTGCACATGTAGACGGGGATTTTTGAAAACAGGTTTTTTCCTCTGTCTTTCTCAAAAACATCCCCGACCACATAACCACTGTTCTAAAAAAGTCTTTGTCCAAATGATGCAAAAACACAACTGAAGAGCCAAACCAACAGGCGGGGATATGACCGTTACCTAAAGCCAAGCACAGAAGAAGACAATCAGGAGCCTAAATACCATCAGGCTAAAGGGAGCAGTGACCTCAGAAGATAATTCTGACACCGAAAACCTTCACCTTGACAGAGGTTTACAAAACATGTGTTTGTGTGGGTTAGAACCCCCCCACCCTGGGTTCAAACCAGGAACCCTCTTGCTGTGAGGCAACAGTGCTAACCACTGCTCCACTGTGCCACCCTACTATTCCACATGTCAACTATTAAAATTGATAAATTAAATGAATCATTTCTTATTTTCTTTGGTATTTTTTGTTATATTCAGATATTGCGTGATGATTGCTGGTGATATGTATGCTGATCTTATCCAATGCAAATTCTGTGGTCATGTGACGAGATGATGTGTGCACATTGGCGTGCACTGGGGGGCCGTCATAATAATAATAGCTACCATATACCACTGGTCTCAGCTGACCACTTGTGTTCGGATCACCCAAAAGAGCCCGGTCTCACTCCAAAGGCATTGAAATCTGGCGCTTGGCCAGTGACTTCTGGCGTCAGAAACCAATGAAAAAGGCATCTTTTAACGTTAGCACGATACCTGGCCCATTGCCGTTGTAGTTTAATAGTGCCTGGCGGTGTCAGGGTGACAATGGGGGCGATGAGACAAGGGCAATGTTAAGGCGGCGAAAGACAGACTGGGGCGGGCAGGAGGGACTGAGGGTGGATGAGTCCAACAAACCCCGACTTTCACCCGAGAGAGTGACGTTGGTGTCCCGTAAGATTCTAAAGCCAAACCCTGTTTTTTTGTTGTTGAAGGAAAAAAGACGTCAATTTGCATTGTTTTACCGATGTAGTGCTTTTATTTTGAAAGAGACTTTATGTAATGAAAATGAAAGTGTATTTTGAACAGGCTGAACTTGACACGGTGTCCCAGAACATCAACAACCAACCACCCAGGGAACAAGGGTAAAAGACAGGTAAGTCACACGTTGGTACTCCAGCTCACAAAGTCTTCTTCCTTCTTTGTTTCTACGACATGTAGATTCCATTTTTAACAAACTGGACTTGAGTCAGTACCCGTCCAAGAACAAACACTGATCATGTTTTATGAGAGCGGAGGAAACGATGCACCTCACAGCTCATTTCAGACGTCTTTCCTGCCGCCTCTCTGTACTGCATCCTCATTATTGACGCAGAGCGCTTGTTGCTGTGACTTCATTCTGGGATTGATTGAGTCAGTCAATCCTGTCTGTAAGTGAGCGGCCACCTCCTCTCTCCTCGCTCAGTTAAACTAAGCACAAAACCTGAAACATTACACTCAGTGAGAAGGGTTCCAGTTTGCAGCTCTGGTCATTTCTGCAGCAGTAAAATAACATATTTGAGTTTCGGGGTCATTTCCTCACAGCCTGGTGATCACAGCCTCTGCTCAAATGTTAGCAGGCCACTTTCAGAAACTGATGTTATTTCTCGTCTGTGACCGTGGACGGTGGCGAGGGTGTGAGCGCTGACATTTCCCTGATTTTATGGATGAATAAACACAACCTTGAACTCGACTCACGTGTGATGAGGGTGGATGCTGAAGAGGAGGCTGATCTTTACCTTGGTTAGCACTGTTCTCATCGAGGAAAGGACCTGAGAGTCATCTGAGATAAACACTTCAAGAGACGGTAAATCTCAACCAGGGAATTTTTCAGGAATAGAAAATGCTGGGACGTGATAATGATTTCATTTTGATGATGGAGCTGATTTCATAAAATGTATTGTAATATTTCACAGAGAAACTCAGACATTTGAAATAACAATAAACCACAAACAGCAGCTCCATTCTATCAACTGAGGAGCCTCAGATCACTGCTCACAGAGTCTTTACAGTAAAAGCAGCCCTGCGTTAAAGCAACACATGAGGCTGTGCTGTGCTCGTTTCAGTGCATCGGTGATACGCTAAAATACGATCCAGGAAGTAGCACATAAATGCATTTAAAGGCTTATCAGACGCCAGCGTGCTGCAGTCAACAAAGGAAACAAAGATGAACATCATCACAGTTTGCAGACGACTTCCTGCTTCAACTCTGAACCTCCATGCTTGTTGTAGCCGTGGTGACACAGCTTCACCGCTCAGTGAGAGATCATTACTGATCATTTTCAGTTTGGCCTCCGAATAAAGACGTTGAGATAATCTGGAGAAACTCTTTGATTGTCTGACTGCTCATTTATTGACCTGTTCTTTTTGTGCATTTCTATCCACCTGCTTTTATGCATATTTTCAATTTCTACAGTAAAAACAGAGCGAAAAAGCAGAAAACCCCCCCCCAAAAAAACCCATTGTAATATTGCAAGAAACTTTTTACACTGAGGTGGAAAGGTGGACGTACAGATAAAAAATAAGTGCAACAAAATGCAACAGAAGCAGCCTTAGTGAATAAATGATGACACCCGTGAAGCATGTGACTTCAGTAAACCTGGATCCTACATTGTCATGTTTTCAGTGTCTATGTGAATAAATGAGACAGACGTTTCTTCAGTTAGTCCAGTATTGAGAGAGACAGCTGTGTAACAGGCTGTAATCCCTACAGGCAATTGTGCAGTGTCAATTTATGTCCAATAAAATTTTTTGTTTTTGCCTCTGACAGGCTCAGATTGTTATTGTAAGTGTCTTAAACCAAGATGGAGCCGACGCAGCAGAGAAGAGAAATGTTTTGTTGTTGGTCTGTTTGTACTGTGACCAAGTCTCACTAAAGAAGAAGTCTCGTTCTGAAATCTCATGAGAGGTGACTTGTTGCAGGAAAAACAACAGCGGCAATGTGATGGGAATGTTTGTTGAGTACAGAAAGCCTAGTTTAGTGTTGTCTAAAAGATTTTCACTGCCATGGCTGAATATTTGGCTGATTTCAACAAAGTGAAAAAGTCAGATCAAGATTTCAGATCAAGATTTCTTCTTTAGCGAGACTTGGACACAAAACAGACCAAAACATGTGAAACAATTTGAACCTGTCAGTGACAGAAACAAAAACTTTAATTGGACATAAATTGACGGTGCATAATTGCGCGTAGCTGTTTGAGGGTCCATGTCATTGGTCCGACAGCCCATTAGTTCGACAGCCCATTAGTCCGACTGTCTGCGCTGCTGAACGGCTCGCAGCGGGCGTATGGTGCCCCGCGACCGGCTCTGGGTCAGCTGGGAAAGGCTTGAGGCGGAGCAGGCTCACGGCTTATGTGTTTGTCACTTTCTTTTTCATTTTAACCCACACCATGATCTTTTCCTGACCCTAACCAAGTGGTTTTTGTGCCTAAACCTAACCAGACCTTAACCACAGGGCATCATGATGATTTCAGAACGGACTTCGGAACAATGAGTTTAATATGGTCGGAACAATGGGCTGTTCCCGCTGTTTGGCTACTCGATACTGGACCAGTGTCTGAAAACATCAGATGTCTGTGGAGTGATGAGGAGACTGTGACACTCAGGCTGTTCTCGTGCAGTTTGTACATTTTCCCATGAAAAGTAATGTGACAAAATTTGTACATTTCCCACATAATAATGAGCCAATAATTCGTGCATAACCCAAATATTTTGGAAGGCTGTGATCATGTGACCAATGCACTGACGGGAACACGACAGAGGCGGTCCAAGCTGTCCAGTTAGGGGACAGGTGAGGTGGTGAATGGGTCACAAAACACAGGACTTTCCCCTGGAGAATTCAAAATTGTGTTAACTTTCTTTTCCTAAACCTAACTACAGTCACTTTACGTTAATTTTGTAACGTTATTTGATGATACGTTGAACCAAAGGAGGCTGGTAGCGAGTTGAAGCTTTAAAATCTAAAACGTGAAGTTTGTACGTACACACAGTTCAGCTTTAGACTTTATTCTGATGCTGAACTGACACAAACACCAGCGACATGTGACACTTTTTATCTTGTGCTTCTAAAGTTATGTGTCTTTGCGGACACATAAGGAATTGTTAATTTGCCATATTTCTTAAAGGGAGTTTGCCGTTATATTTTTCAGCAGGAGCAGAATGGGAAATAATCTCAAAAGGAGTCTTGCTCTAGTCTTGCAGACAGTGACCCTGCGCCATCTTCAGCCTGTTCTCAAACAAACTCCGGACTTTCACCTGGAAGCCCCCTGCCCGGTTCCCGTGTGAATTTTAAGCCAAATCATGATGTTTTTTTTCTAAAGCCAACATGGTTTTGGAACTCAACCTCAAAGAGTTTATGAATGTAATGAGTAGAAAGTGTATTTTGCCCTACTTGCCTGTCGTCTTTCAAACATACTAGATTCAAACATGATTTCAGCTAGCTGGCAACATGGAGGGAGAGACGGAACATGATGGAAAACATAAATGTATGTGATGGCAAACAAAACGTTGTCGCACATGGTGCATATTAGAGCTACGTTACACCGACAGCTACAGAAAACATTATGTGGATCATCAGTGAACGATTAGTGTAACGATTTCATTACACAAAACAAATCACGTGAATTTTTCGAAGACTTTCAATGATTTTTACTTGATTGCGAAATTCCATGACTTTTCCAGGTTTTCCATGACCGTGGGAACTCTGCACAGTGCGTGTAAAAGGTATAAACTGACACGCCATCTGTAAACATCCAAAACAGACGCAGGAGGGTACCTATGGCATCATGTTTTGACATGTATGTCCACCGACAGAGCGACCGTGTTCGACAAAAGTCAGGTTGTCTTTAAATGTGAGAGGGTGTCAGACTTTAAAGTCTTCAGCATTAGACACACCAGAATAATCCTTAACTCTAAACTTTAAAACAGAACACGACTTCAGCTCTCACAATGTACACTATATATATCTCCTGTTTTTTTCTTATGAAGCACTTTCACCCAAAGCTCTGCACAGGTTGCCTCTTATTCACTCACACACACACACACACACACACACACACACACTGGGACAACTCAAAACCACATGTGCATGCAGCACACACACCTGCACAGGATCTTAAACAGTCACAACTGTAATATCAAAATCTTCAGTAACAACATCCTCTCAAATACACTGATGTGACTCTGTGTGTGTGTGTGTGTGTGTGTGTGTGTGTGTGTGTGTGTGTGTGTGTGTATATGTGGGACTCACATCTGTCTCGGTGGCAGTCGCTCCTGAAATGGGTCATGACAAGAGAAGAAGAAGAAGAGGAGGAGGAGGAGGAGGAGGAGGAGGAGAGAGATAAAACCTGACGACTGAGAGTGTCTGACTGATGATGCTTCCCTCACTGAGACAGGGAGAGAGGTGACCGCTGAGTATGGCAGTGGGTCGTACCATCTAACACTCCACTGAGAGGGGTGGAGGAGGGATGACCAGTTCATTTATCTGGTGAGAAGGGGGGGTGGGGTGGGGGGGGCAGTCTGGAGGAGAGACAGAGATGGGACAGCACTGATGGAGGAGCTGTGAAGGAGGTAAAGTGGAATCAGTCAAATGGAGAACAGAAGGTAAAACAACACTGAGCTCAAGTTTATCATGTTTTTCTAGTAACCCTGCACATTCAAAGTGATGCTGAATATTTGTCCTGTGGAGATGCTGCGCCCCCTAGTGGATCATAATGTGGTTGTTTAAAGTGTAACAAATTAAACTGCATGTTTTTGTCTGCTGTAGCACACTCACTGGTCACTTTATTAGGTACACCTTGCTAATACCAGGTTGGATCCCCTTTGTCTTCACAACTGCCTTAATTCTTCATTGCATTCAACAAGGTGCTGGAACAACACATTCTCACTCGTCTCGACCTCGTCACATATGGATATCGTTTGCTCATGGACTTTCCACGTCTACATACGATGTGCAACGTACCTTGTTCTGGGACGCCGTGTCAACTTCAGCCTGTTACATGCATTGTCTTCTTTCAAAATTCTGTTTTCACAGGAAATGTAATGTTTACATGCAGTCTCTTAAATAAACACACTACATCGGTACAACACTGACAATTGACGTCTTTTCCTTAAACAACAAACACACATGGTCGGGTTTAGGCAACAAAAGCACGTGGTTAGATTTAGGAAAAGGGAAGAGGGTTTGGCTTTAGAATCTTACGGGACACGAACACCGCTCTCTCAGGTGAAAGACAGCGCCTGGGCAGTGACTTGTGACGTCAGAAACCAACGGAAAAAGGCGTCCTTTAACGTCAGATATGCAGCTGGTTGCAAGTATAGTTTTACAGTGTTTGGTGGCGTCAGAGGGAAGCGTAGCGGGACAAGGGCGAAAGTCAAAGCGGCAAAAGTCCAAGTAGGGTGGGTGGGAGGCTCCAACAAACACAGACTTTCAACCAAGAGAGTGGTGTTTGTGTCCATAAGATTCCAAAGCCAAAAACCCTGTTCTTTTTTCCTAAAACTAACCATGTGTGTTAAAGGACAGAAAACATCAAGTCACAGTGTTGAACCAACGTAGTGTGTTTATTTTGAGAGAGACTGTACGTTAAATTTCCCGTGTAAACTGAAGTGTATTCAGTACGTATGTACGTACCTTGGACGTCATACGTCAATATGTGACGAGGTCGCAGTGAGAATGAGTTGGCAGTGTACATTTCTGCAAACAGATGATATGTTACATTTGTATGTAGATACTTTGAAACTTTACGTTTCATCAATGCTGTGGTTAAGGTGTGGTTAAGTTTAGGCACGATAACCAAAGTGGCAACCTGTGGGACTGAAATATGAAGCCAATATGGATGTGCCAAAAACTGCAGTTCCTCTAATGGCCACTTGGGGGTGACTCCAAGAGTGAGCCAAACCCCATAGACCCCCATGTTAAATAACTACAGCACAAATAAACATGTTTACAGCCTGGTACAAAAACAGTTCTGGTCTCTATGGCTAATTTCAACATTCATGACGACTGTACAGGAGCTGAATCTTTAGAATAATTGAGGGACCGGTTCACTGACTCTGTCTCTGCTCTCCTGCTGGAGCTCAGCCTGTCAGCTGCTGTCAATCAAATACAGTATTCCTGAGATTTATCCCAAATCTTTTTTCTTGCTTTAATAATTATAAACTATTGACAATACATTTGAAATAACACTGGTGTTACTTTTGGCTGCAAAAACGGGGATGTGTAAATGAGATTTACGTTGGACTTTAATGAGAAGATGAAACACTAAATTCACTTTTTTGAGTTAAGCTGCAGCCATTTTACAACACGCTCTACTGATCCTGGTTTCGTTTTATTGAGAAACACTTATGTTGCAATGAAGTGTTTATCTTTTTTTCCAGAGAAAAGAAAAAGAGTAGTTCAGTCCATTTGATCTCCCAAAAATCTATAAAATATCTGACATACTGCAGGTGTAGGAAGTAGTGTATGTCGGCGTTCAGATGCATCATTTAAATGTGTGACGGAGGAACATGTTCACATTAAAACAGGATGTTACTCTTGAATTGAAAAGACTTCATTTCAATTCTGCACACAGAACAGATCGTGCCACTCGACCTGGAACCCGTTCCAGCAAATTAGCAACATGCTAGCTGCAATTTACAACATGACATAATTTCCTGTGCTGTTCATTTTGACTAGTTTCACTAATGAAAACCAATTATGTCAGACTTGCATTAGCATGCGAGAGTCCTCACGAATGTATCTGCAATTTGCGAGCAGCAGTCTTTTGTGAAATGTGACAATTCCACCATTTGCAATCTGCATGTGAGTAAATCGCTTTTGTGAAACGGCCCCTGAACTGACAACTTTTTTGGCAAGTAAATAAAGTACCATGCACCAATAATGTATCAATCAATCAATTTTATTTATAAAGCCCAATATCACAAATCACAATTTGCCTCACAGGGCTTTACAGCATACGACATCCCTCTGTCCTTATGACCCTCGCAGTGGATAAGGAAAAACTCCCCAAAAAAAACCCTTTGACGGGGAAAAAAAATGGTAGAAACCTCAGGAAGAGCAACTGAGGAGGGATCCCTCTTCCAGGACGGACAGACGTGCAATAGATGTCGTACAGAACAGATCAGCATAATAAATTAACAGTAATCCGTATGACACAATGAGACAGAGAGAGAGAGAGAGAGAGAGATGCAGGTAATGACAGTAGCTTACAACAACATTATTGAAAGTAATATGTGAACATATATTGTACATAATACTTTTGTTATTGCTGGATTCAAATGAAGAACTGTTTCTGCCAACAATTAAAAGTTGTGAAAAGATTACAGTGAAGTTGATAGCTGCAGTTTGCATGAGTGAAACCAGCATAACTTTGTTTGTTTAATTCCAATTTCTGGTTCAAAAATTGTAGAGCTCAGCATGGACTCTACCTGCTGCTGTCTGATCATCATCCAGGGACTCAGTGCCAGAACTGCCACGACATCTGCTGCTCCATTTAAGTGGGTTTCCCTGCTGCTCGGTAACAAACGGCACATCGGCACGGCCAACTGGAAAATAAAATGCTGAGGCAGTGATGTTCCAGCAGCAGACAGTTGGTCCTCTGCAGCTTCAGATACTGTACAACCTGCTACATGTTTAGATTCTGGATATTATTTAAGCAGTGATGGACCTCCGTGCTGGCTACTCACTGTACAGTGCTTTAGATTATTTGCATGAGGGCTGTAAATCTCACCTGCCTCTGCTGGCAGTACTTAGAGCTTCGTCAAGATTTCAGATGAACACAATGGTGAGTGTTTGTTGGTGGGAGGCCAGGAAGTAGCACCTGGTTGGTTGGAGTATTGCACATTGGAGGGCACCTGGGGGAGAGAAAGGCTCTCCATTCACAGGTGGGCCCCTGTTTTCACAGAGGGGACTCTTCCTGTCTCCACGCTACTGAAGTGCTCATCTAACACAAGCTGAAAGTGCTCTGAACTCAAGTACAGTGTGTGTGTGTGCGTCCTGCTGCTATGAGCCCAGATATCTGTGCTGTTAATTAGCTTGAATTAAAACTACCTCAAAAAGTGGCTGATTAAATCTTCATGCTTCAACTAGGTATCCAGCCAGTGGTCTTACACTGCAGAGTGCAGCTATGAGTTTACAGAGCAGAGTGCACCTCGTGCAGCAAAGCTCCATCTTTTTCCATCTCTTCTGACACAGTAGATAAAAGTTTCATCAGGTCTGCTGCTATAACCTCAAGAAAAAACACAGATAGTTCAAACAAAAACGAAACTATCTTTTATTCAGAGTTTTCCTACCTGCGTGACTGTTGGCTTAGTTTACCTGAGACAGAGCAGGAGAGTGAAAGACAGGAGTGAGATGTGAGACGAAAGACACTGGAAGCAATTGATTTATTTACTTTCTTACTGACAGCTGGATGAGACGATCAACACCACACACCTGCCCTCTGCCCTCTGACTAGATACGTGTCCTTTTTTCAAGTCGCGGCTGATGGTTGTACATTTACTACATTTCTGTTTACAGCTCAGTCATTGTGCAGTTACTGAACACCATTAATGTATATTCTGTATTTTATGTTGTGATTCAATGAGCACTGTTGTTTTATTGCAAACATCTGCTTTATATACACAGATATAATCATCAATAAAATGTTTCTGCTGATTTTTTGTTTTTAAATATGATATTTTGATGCTGTGAGCAACACAATGAAATTCCTTCCATCTCCATTTTCTCTGTCTAAATTTGGACAAATCAAACTAAAACTATCTGCATGAACTGACACTTTAAAAATACGATCTTCTGGTGTCAGGCTTTTAAACACAAGCTCTGGTTGTTAAACTGTGATCCATGTCAGTTCAGTCTGAGATTTAAAACTCTTCACGGCAGATTTCTCTGAACACTGACGGAGAGAATAAATGATACGTTTACCTCCAGAATTGGGCAAGCTTTGATTGGTTGATAAAAGTTTAATCAGTGTTGATAAATTGACCCGAGCAACCAGCCGTCATCCAACTCTGTTTTAATTACAAAATCCATTAAATGATTTCATTTTAATTAAAGCTGTCCTATCTAATTACGATATGATGATGAGGAGAGCCGGGGGCGTCTCCTGGGCTGCTTTATTTATCTCACAGTTAACCTCCGTCAGCAGCCTGAGAGCAGCCTCCCAGCATGCATTTCAATGAGGGTCAGTGGCCCACACACACACACACACACACACACACACACACACACACACACACACACACACACACACAGGGCCATAAACAGGTTTAAACCTATGATTCTTTGATCGGTAATTAACTAATAAATTCTATAATAATAATTCAAACACTATTGGATTTTTTTTCTACAGCCACCGTCTCTTGCTGTAAATA